TGATCTCCCTTCCTTTCGCCGCGCCCTCAAGACTTGGTTATTCCAGCTTGCAGGACTGGCCTAGGGTAATTTTTAGGGGGGTTTTAATTATATTTTAAATTCGACAAATATTTAATATTCCTTTTAATTAATTTTAAATTTGTATTGTTTTGTATGTATTTTAAATAGATTGTCAGCCGCCCTGAGTCCTACGGGAGAAAGGCGGGATATAAATTCAAATATAAATAAATAAATAAAAATCAATGGAAAACATCGCCACCTCCAACATCTCAATATCTCACCTTGATGCAGTTCGTTACAGTTAATGTTTCCTGACTGGTCCCGATCAAACTGCTGGAACAGATTCCGCCACTGTTGTATATAACGCCACAGGGCTGAAAAGCCATAGAGGTCTATCCGGCCAGATTTGCTTTTGTCGAACATGTCTGCCGAGAGAGAAAGACGAGAAGGTGATGTTGCATTGCCTACATCGTTAATTATTTTTTTCCCAACCCAAAGTTGAAAGGGAGATGAGAGCGTCGTGCCGCTTTGGAGGCTGCTTAATTAGGGTTGAAGGTTTTTTTTTTTACAAGCCCTAGCATGCCATTTTGAACCCACTGAAGAAGTGTCTCCAAGTTTATCCTGTTCCTTGGAATGCCAACAGAAGACTTGGCTGAAATTGGGAAAAAGATTTTCCCTGAAACATGCCGAAGGCAATGGTGGACTATCTTTAGGAAGCTAGGTTTGCCCCTTAACCCAATTTACTGGTTTAGGTATTGAGGAAGCTATATATCAGTGGTTCTCAACCTTTTTAATGCCGCGACCCCCAACCGGTCGTAAGTCGAGGACTAAACCAGTCGTAAGTCGAGGACTAAACCGGTCGTAAGTCGAGGACTAAACCGGTCGTAAGTCAAGGACTACCCAACCGGTCGTAAGTCGAGGACTAAACCGGTCGTAAGTCAAGGACTAAACCGGTCGTAAGTCGAGGACTACCCAACCGGTCGTAAGCCGAGGACTTTCCCTGCCCGGGAGCGCCGTGCATGCGTGGTTCTGCCCCCTGCGCCGGCCGAGGCGTAGCTGGCAAGCGGCAGAGACAGAGCAGGCCGACCACCAGCTGGCCCAGCTCAAGGGAGGTAAGGCACCCGCCGGAAAAGGGGGAAAAAAAATGGCGGACAGCCTTGCTTGGCGACCCCCGTGAAATGGTCGATCGACCCCAAATGGGGTCGCGACCCATAGGTTGAGAACCGCTGCTATATATGCATGCAGACCTGTAGCTCCTCTTTGGCCTTCAAATGACCAGCCGCAGAACAGCAGTGGAGAAAGACACCCCTTTTCCCTTGTTTACGTGGGAAAAGAATAATGTGCTGTTGCAGAGAGCAGCTCCTTTGAGGGAGCGAAGCATCAGAGTCCACGAACCTCAGGCGTAATTATGCTTGTAATTATCCTTAGCATTCCATTCCATTTGAATCGCTTTATTATACGGACTCTCCTGCTCTCTTTTCGATTACACGCAAAGCAGCCTGTAACGTTTGTTTTCTTCACTATTTCATGGGTCTCCAGTTTTGAGATTTTTTTTTTTTCCAAAGAGGAGAGATTGAGAAGGAGCTGGAAAAACTTGAGCCTTAGGAAAAGGCGATGAGAGGGAGAAGAGAACAATCTTCAAAAACCTGAAGGGGCGTCATTCAAAAAATAAAGCTTATTCTCCGTCGTTCCAGCATGCAGACAGAAAATGGTTTATAAATTATAGGAAGATGGCTTCTGGTTGCACGCTAGGGGAAAAAAAAAATGCCCTGATGGTAAGAGCCAGGGCTGTGCAAATCTTCAAAGGGGGGTGTGTGTGTGTCATGGTTGCTTTGATGAAAAAATGAGTGCAATTATCCTTTGAAATGGCTTTGTGAAGCAAAGTGACCCCTTCTAAGAATGGAGAGGAATAACCATGTGGCTTTATTTGGCAGCTGTTCATCGGCCTCTGGTCCCTGCAACAGCTGGAAGGACATTCTGCCCAGCTGCAGGACCTTCACAGAAGCTTCCTTCTGTGGGAGAAGGCTGGGGGGGGGGGTTCTCCTTGCAGTCCTCTCCGGCAGCGCTTGCCCAAACCTCCAGCATCCCCTCCAGCAATTAAGCCTGGTCAAAAGACTCTCCCAGCTTTCACTAGTGACAAAGGTAAGAGATGTAGGGAAGCTCTGAGGCAAGGTGAGAAGCTTCCCTGAGCCACAGCAGGTTGTTTCTTTGCTTCAACCGAGAGAATCGGGTTGTCCTCCATGGCGTGAAGCTCTTCCTTGAGCTAAATTTAAGCCAAGCTTGCAGAACCCGAGTGAGAATGTTCAGTGAATGGAAGTAAAGGCCCACAGGAGCACGGAATCCCCCTTTCTTGGATGTGTCCAGATAAGAAGCTGGGTTGCTGCTGGTTGGAAATGCTTTAATTTGCATTTGTGCGCCAAGAGGGTCAACTCTGATGGCTCCAATTATCTCTTGCCATTCTACGTGGGATGAGTAACTAGGGCAGGGGTAGGCAACCTTGGCTCTTTTATGACTCGGGGACTTCAACTCCCAGAATTCCTGAGCCAGCCTGGCTCAGCTTGCAAACCTCTCCCTTTCCCCTCAGCATGGCTGGCTCAGGAATTCTGGGAGTTGAAGTCCACGAGTCATAAAAGAGCCAAGGCTGCCTACCCCAGGCCTAAGTCCTCCTGTTCTAAGCGGTGAGCCTCCTAGACCAGGGGTAAGCTGCTGGTCAATCCCTAGTTCAGGGGTAGGCGACCTTGGCTCTTTTATGACTCGTGGACTTCAACTCCCAACTGAATTCCAATTCTCTTTTTGCATGTGTTACAATGTATGTATATATTTTTTTTAAAAAAGGAAGAGCTTTGCTGACATGGTTGTGTCCACTATCTTAATTCCCTTATACATCTGACTAGGGCCAGGGGTAGGCAACCTTGGCTCTTTTATGACTCGTGGACTTCAACTCCCAGAATTCCTGAGCCAGCTTGGCTCAGCTTGGAAACCTCTCCCTTTCCCCTCAGCATGGCTGGCTCAGGAATTCTGGGAGTTGAAGTCCACGAGTCATAAAAGTGCCAAGGTTGCCTACCCCTGAACTAGGGATTGACCAGCAGCTTAGATTCCTTTAGAATGACATCTTGAAAAGACTTCTCCAGTGCCTACGTCATAAGAGACATTCGTATCAGTCTCATTTCACAGTTACTGCACAAATACCCAAGGCGCACAGGATGCTTTTACAACTCCCTGCTACTCTCGCATACCATCCTCGCTATAACAGACCCAAAGGCCATTATTACAGAATGTTTGTATTAGATTTATTATATTANTTTATTGTTTTTTACCCCTCCTTTTAGAGTGTTTTATTTCTTGTTTTATATTCTTTAGGGGTTGTTTTATGTAATTTTTTTCCTATTTCTTTTATGTTTATGTTTTTAAGTTCTTTGTAGCTCACACCCTTAATGCTGGTCTTTGACCATAATAAAAGTTGATTTGATTTATCGCGAAGATCTAGCCTGGGTACAAAATAAAAAAAAAACGTATTCATACCGTCTTAAGAAAAAAAGCAAATTATAAGAGAAGCCACAGAATCTATTTTGTTCATGTTCAAATACAAGCACCTTTTGAGAAAATATTGCGCAGGATTTTTCTGAACTGTCAAGAGCGGATGTACTTGATCTTCTGACGGCCTCATCCTAGTAGAGAATAGCTCCAGAAACTCTTGATGGAGAATCAGACCTACAGTATTACAGGGCCCCCACATGCTTTTCACCACGCTGAGTATAAATTCTTTTACCCCAAAAGAATTACTCATTACTTACTCATCATCATCAAGCAAGTATCATCGCTGAAAGCAGACCAATTGGAGTTGACAAGGGCCTGTTTCAGCTCCTTGGTTGTGATGTATCCACTGTGGTCAGCATCTACAGTCTGGAACCAAGAGAAAGCTTCTGGATCCACACCGGGGGGAATGTGGCCTGTGTGAGAAAGAACGAGATATAAAGAACATATACAGAGAACTGCAGGGCCTTTGACCAGAGCATGCCAAGAACCCCACCAACATTGACAGGAGACATCTAGCAAGCTTCTGACAACTGGTGAAGGTAAGATGAGACTCGAATCTTCTCCTCATTTGTTGACTCAGCCTTTCTCCCCCCCCCCACAAAAAGGCAGGGGGGATATGTTAAATGTGAGCTCACTTGGGCAGTGGGATGCAAAATCTTGTAAAAACAGAAGGGAAACAAATGAGGTCTTCTTCCAAAGATTTGTAATGCTCACGGCCAAGATGGAGAAGGCACGTTGCTTCAGCAGGATGCAAGTGCTATTGTGTTGTGTTGAGGAGGTTTCTGCACAGCAGTAAAGTTTTATGTCCATCTCCTGAGGAAGCCAACTTTGGTACTTTTCAGTTCTCTCCTTGGAACCTTAAATAATGCAATAGGAATGCCTTTCTGAACCGCTGGTCTAAACGGAGATGAATAATTCAATTAAAGACGGTTTCTCCAATTTTGCAACACAAACAGGCACCCACTACTGCAGCTGCAGAATCAGTCTGTAAAGTGATAGATGTCAGATATCATCTTCTTCCTTAACATGTAGCCGAGGGAGGCCTGATGCTACAGGCAAGTTTCCCTCCTTTGAGAGATGCTTTTACCTCACAGGCGTTCAAAATGTCTGCAAAACACAGGCGTTACCGCATTCCAACAACGCTTGCAAAATGTCACTTAGTCCAGGAAAAAAAAATGCTACTTGGCTCACAACCTGCCACACTGGGGGGTGGGTGGGTGGGTTATGGTTTAAATGTGCAGGGAGGATTGAAAATCCAGTCTTCTAAAAGTTTCTCAGCTGTCTACACATTTGTAGCTCTTGATCAGCACCAGAAAAGGAGATGGGAAATGCTTCAACGTAAGAACAAACTGAACAAATGACAACCGCACATTTCTCACTATAACTTGACATTCCAGATCTGGTAATCAGAGTTTTTTGTAGAAGGGCGGCAAAACGCCGCAGTGCAAAAATACAAATTTGAGGGTCAAGATCAACCGGTTCTTAGATAGGAAACCTGATAACAGACTTGATTTGAAATGTTCGCTTAGCTACAAAAAAAAAAATAAAAATAGAGTGAATATTGCAACCAATAGGGGGGAAAAAAGGATGGGCAGACGAGCAATTCCAGATAAATGAGGATATCCTGGTTCAACAGTGCATAGCTTCCGTGACATCCTGACAACTGAATTGAAACAAACGTCCTACCACTCACCTCCATGACCACCTGCCCCATAGGGCCCAGGTTGGGGAGCACCATAGGGATTAGTAGGCTGTCCATATGACCCTCCTGGGACTGGGCCACCCCCATACATTCCACCCGGAGGGCCAGAGGAAGGGTATCCATAGGGTCCTCCACTGGGTGGCGGTGGTCCATATGGGCCTCCAGGTGCTGGGCTCCCATATGATCCCCCGGAAGGCAGTCCACCTCCATACTGTCCACCAGGATAGCTGCCTTGAGGAGCTCCTGGAGCCTGTCCTGCATTTCCAGGGAAGCCCTGTGAAGGAACGAAAGAAGGAAGGAACTGTAAAAAAAAAGCAGACAATGAATCATCACAGGGCTTAGGTTTCTCAGTCCCTTCTTGTGAAATGTTCCTTCTCCCTTCTTCATAACTTCCATGGTTGTGAAATGCTCCTTGTTCCTTCCTACCTCCTCCTCAAGTTATCAGGGTAAACCACTTTTTGGTGCTGATGAATTCTTCAGCTCTTCTTACTCCACAAGAAAAGAGAAACCATTTGGGGGTTAGGAAAATACAAGAGCAGCTATAAAACAGACATTCCACCTGTAGAAGGTGTCAGGGTCAATCTCTGAACTGGCTGCCAAGGCTGAGAAATCAGGATAGGATACTCTTTCTATAGCAATGTGGATTGTCTGAATTTCAGTTGGCCCATAAATATTTTTTTTATCATCTTACAAATACCAGCTCCAAGTTCGGGTTTAATTAATATTTGTTTTAAAAATGGTTATTTCCAGAGAATCAATTTTTTTTAAAATATATCTAAAGATCTAATGTCTAGGGAAGACTTATTCATTTTATTAAGTTGTATATTTAATTGTTTCCTGATGGGTGGGTATATTTCCATTTGGGATAAAGCCAGATTGAATCATAGGGATAATTTTGCCAATAATCATTTTTGTCGATTAGCTGACAATTTGGTGTATAGTTTATAGTCTTTTAAGGAATGAAATGGGCCCATAAGAATCTTAATTTTTAGCAAATAAGGAGATGGATACAGGAAATAACAAAGCAACAAATTGAACTTAAACCCGAAATATTCCTGTTAGGCATAATCAATCCAAAGATGGAAAAGCAATTTGAATACATCATTATACATATAATGACTGCTGCACGCATTGCCTATGCGCAATGCTGGAAAAGGGAAAACATACCAACAAGTGCAACGATAATACATAAGGTATTAGAATGTGCTGAGATGAATAAACTTACTTTAGAAATAAAAGACAAAGAAGTTACAGAATTTTATGAGATATGGATGGACATGTACTATAAATGGTTAGAATTGAGGAATAAAAAAGTATGAGAAGTAATGTAAATAAATGTAAGAGATATAGGACACAGTATTGTTAAGAAAAAAGAAAAAAATGTACTTTGTATTTTTGTGATGTGTAAAGACAAAAAGAAAAAAGAAAAATTAAAAAAAAAGAATCTTAATTTTTATGCAATACTTTGTATCAAGGAGATCAATAACAATAACAAAAACAAGGAGATCCTTTAACAGACTCTTGGAAAAAGTCTAAGGCAATTTTGATTCTTAAGTCAGAGCTTGCACAACATCCTGATCAGGCTCACCCTCAGCAACTGTTAAGAAGGGTGTTAAGGAAGAAGTGATAAAGAAAATCCTGGACTGTGCTGAGATGGACAAATTAACAAAAGAGATAAAAGAAAAGGAAGACACAGACTACTATTTAATATGGAACAAGTGGTATGACTGGCTGGAGAGTAGAAATAAGAGAGAATAAATGTGGAAAGGTTAAAAGTGGAAAATGTGTGTATAATAACGTATGAAGGAAGAAAAATGCAAATAAGAAACAATGGGGCAACAAGGACAAATACTCCAAAGAAGAATAAGGAGGGGGGAAATGTAAATAATAGAAGATTACTGTTACAAAATTGCTGTTAAAATATATACTGTGTATATATGTGTGTTATGTTTTGTTTTGTTGGTTTAAATAATAAAAATTAAAAAAAAAAAAAAAAAAAAAGAAGGGTGGACTTCAATTCCCAGAATGCTCCAGCCAGCAGAGGTGGACTTCAACTCCCAGAATTCCCCAGCCCATGAAAACACTTCCTCACTATGTTTTGGGGAGCTTCCTTCCCCTCCATCCCCAACAACCTCCATTTCCCCCCCCTCCCATGACGTCACTATTCCGTCGGCCTGGCCGTGACGTCACCCTGCGTCACTGAAAAGCGCGACTCGTTTCCTTGCCGGCGCTATCCTTTCCGCTCTCCCCACCCTTTCCCGGTTGCCTAGGCAACGCCCAGCCCCTCCAATAGAGAGCCCACTCGACGTCGCCTCAGTTACGGGGGGGGGTCCCGTCAGCCACCGCGGCGGGGACGAGCTGGACGCCTGTTTCGCGCGCGTGCCCGCCGCCTCACCTGTCCATACGGGTAACTGGCCGCCATGGAATCTTCGTCGCTCGCCCCCCGTCCTCCTTGTCGCGCGGGTACGCCCTTCCTGTTTGGCTCCGCCCCCCCTCACCCCCGCTCTAAGTGATTGGATGAGAGGACCCTCGCGTGGAGCGCGAACTTGGGCGGATCGGCTGTCACTCACTCTGGTGGGCGGGGCTTCGTGGGCGGGAAGCCTATAAAAGGAGAAATCGCATTTTTCTTCTTTCTTTTTTTAAGTGGTTGCGTTAGGGATTTCTGATAGTAGCTGCGCAATTGTTCGTTTAGTGTATTTCTGATTTGCATCGAAGAATTCAAAGCGGTGGCCTGGGTGAATGGGTGTGTTACTCCCCCCCCTTCACACCAGCCCTGTAAGGTAGGCTCCAATCACCTGCATTTATTGGGCGGATTTCCAAAAGCTGCTCTCGCTATTGAGTCAACTTTTTTTTCTTTTTATTTTATTTTTCACCTTTTCTTCTTTGGGTAAAACACGCATAGGTTATTTGGGGGGTAAATTCAGAGGAAAAGCAACCAAGTCTCCGGGCACTTGAAGGACTAAGCCAGCATTTCTCAACCTCAGCAACCAACTCTCCGAATCAAACTCCATCCCTGCTGGGGAATTCTGGGAGATGAAGTCCACACGTCTTCCAAGTTGCTGAGGTTGAGAAACACAGCTATAAGCCATCCAGATACTGGGCAGATAAGGAATGGAATAGAAATAGAAATAGAATAGAGGAATGAACAATAGAATGCAATAGAGTACAATAGAATAGAATAGAGGAAAATAGAATAGAATAGAGGAAAATTAGAATAGACTAGAGGAATGAAGAATAGAATAGAATAGAATAGAATAGAATAGAGGAGAACAGAATAGAATAGAGGAAAATAGAATAGAATAGAGGAAAATTAGAATAGAATAGAGGAATGAAGAATAAAATAGAATAGAGGAGAATAGAATACAATAGAATAGAATAGAATAGAGGAAAATAGAATAAAATAGAGGAAAATAGAATAGAATAGAGGAAAATTAGAATAGAATAGAGGAATGAAGAATAGAATAAAATAGAATAGAGGAGAATAGAATAGGAATAGAGGAGAATAGAATAGAATACAATAGAGTACAATAGAATACAATAGAATAGAATAGAGGAAAATTAGAATAGATTAGAGGAATGAAGAATAGAATAGAGGAGAATAGAATAGAATAGAATAGAGGAGAATAGAATAGAGGAAAATAGAATAGAATAAAGGAAAATTAGAATAGAATAGAGGAATGAAGAATAGAGGAGAATAGAATAGAATAGGAATAGAGGAATGAAGAATAGAATAGAATAGAGGAGAATAGAAAATAGAATAGAGGAGAATAGAATAGAATAGGAATAGAGGAATGAAGAATAGAATAGAATAGAGGAGAATAGAATAGAATAGAGGAAAATAGAATAGAGGAGAATAGAATAGAATAGGAATAGAGGAATGAAGAATAGAATAGAATAGAGTAGAATAGAATAGAGGAAAATAGAATAGAATAGGAATAGAGGAATGAAGAATAGAATAGAGGAGAATAGAATAGAATAGAGGAAAATAGAATAGAGGAAAATAGAATAGAATAGGAATAGAGGAATGAAGAATAGAATAGAATAGAGGAGAATAGAATAGAATAGAGGAATAGAATAGAATATGGCAGTCATAAAGCGCCACAGTCATTAAGCAAATGCCCTGGTTATTAAGCGAACCAATGGTTTGCTATGGGGGTGCAATTTTGCCAAAACCCGGAAATAAGTCCTGTTTTTTGGCAAAACCATTGTAAAGTGAATGTGGGACACTGCAAACAGCTGTAAATGCAGCCCCCTTGCTGAGTTCGGTCACGTGTCCATGGAGGGGCATGACTGTCAGAACTTTGAATCTGGGTTGTAAGTCCCCCTTTTCAGGTCAGTCATGCGGTCAATAAACAGTTGTAAGTTAAGAACTAACTGGACTTGGTAAATCTGTGCCCCCAAAGTATCCACTGTTTTGCTTTTGTGGGATGAGTTGTCAAAAATTAAGAAGAAAAAAACTGTTAGATATATTACCACTGTCACCAAATTCTTTCCTTCATGATGCACAACAGAGGAGGGATCACCCGGTATCCTATTTTCCACCCTATCCTGTTGCTGTTGTAGAAATAAAAGGGTTAAGGCTGGAATAAACAAAGGCTGGTGTGTAAGAAATAAACAGGGAGCTTTGTATATGCTGGCTGATCTGAATTGTGTATGTTCAGTGCTTGCTCTGAACAGGATATAGGGACTGACTGGGAGGGTGTTGGGTGAGAACTAAATTGGAAATTACTGAGTAATTTTCAAACAAAAATCCTGTCATGTTTTGTTTAGGAACTGAATTAGCGCCACGAGTAAATACCCTGCATTTTATTCCTACCCGTTTCCATTCAATTTGATGAAAATGAATGTGATTTCTTTTCCCCAAAGGAGAATGAATTCCAGTGATTTAGTTGCAAGATGTCTTTAGCAATGTGGCCAAGTGTCTCTATTGTACTCTGTAGCTTTCAGCAGCCTTTCTAGCATCTTATATTCTCAATAAATCTCAAAGAAAGGTGTCAGAAGAGAAGCACCGATGCTCCTTGAGTTATGACCCCTAATTCAGCAACTGTTCAAAGTCATGAGGGTGGTGAACAAGAGGGATTTAGAACTGGTCCTCAAAGTTCTGGTCATCCCAGCATCCCTATAGTTGTGGGCTGAGGTGGTGAGGCCCTAGATCAGGGGTAGGCAACCTTGGCTCTTTTATGACTCGTGGACTTCAACTCCCAGAATTCCTGAGCCAGCCATGCTGGCTCAGGAATTCTGGGAGTTGAAGTCCACGAGTCATAAAAGAGCCAAGGTTGCCTACCCTTGCTCTAGATTAAGAGGGCAGAGAAGACCAACAAAGATCTGGAGGTTAAACCATATGATGAACAGCTAAGGGAAATAGTTATGATTAGCTTAACGAAGAGAAGCCTTAGAGCAGGGGTCTTCAACCCCCGCTGGGAGTTGAATTCTGGGAGTTGAAGTCCACAAGTCTTAAAGTTGCCAAGGTTGAGGACCCCTGGCTTAGAGGTGTCCCAATAGCCATCTTCCAATGCTTGAAGGGCTGTTATGGGGAAGAGGAGGGATTAATTCTTCAGAACACCTGAGGGCAGGATAAGAAGTAATGGATGGATGGTTATCAAAGAGAGACCCAACCTAAAACTAAGGAGAAATTTCATGATAGTGAGAACAACTAATCGGTGGAATGGCTTTCCTCCAGAAGTTGCGGGTGCTCCATCTGTGGAGGTTTTCAAGAACAGATTGGAGAACCATTTGCCCAGAATGGTATAAGGCCGGGGTGGATAACTATGGTTCCTTTATGACCCGTGGACTTCAACTCCCAGAATTCCTGAGTCAGCTGGCTCAGGAATTCTGGGAGTTGAAGTCCATAAGTCATAAAGAGGCCATAGTTGCCCGACCCCGGTACTGGGTCTCTTGCTTGAGTAGGGAGTTGGACTAATAATAATAATAATAATAATAATAATAATAATAATAATGGTAAAGTTGGAAGGGTCCTTGGAGGTCATCTAGTCCAACCCCCTGCTCAGACAGGAAACCCTGTACCATTTCGGACCAATGGCTGTCCAGTCTCTTCTTAAAAACTTCCAGTGTTGGAGCATTCACCGCTTCTGGAGGCAGGTTGTTCCACTGGTTAATTGTTCTAACTGTCAGGAAGTTTCTCCTTAGTTCTAGGTTGCTTCTCTCCTTGATCAGTTTCCATCTGTTGCTTCTTGTCCTGCCTTCAGGCGCTTTGGAGAATAGCTAGAAGACCTCCACGGTCCCTTCCAGCCCTATGACAATTCTTTGTGATTGTGAACCAGGTGCTTGGCTATTGGCTCACACTGTAATTACAGCAGCCTGCAGTTGTGTGACTGCCATTTGCTACTTTTGTTCCCAGAAGCTGGCAGGGAAGGTTGCATGTTGTCGGATAACTCGCTCATACTCCGTTAGCTTTTTCTCCCAAGGAGCCTGGCTGTGTGATCCTTGCTTAATGATGGCAACAGGGACAGCCAGCATTGCCATTGCTAAAGGATGCAGTCACGTGACAGGACCCTTTACGACTGCACTGCTTAGCGACGGAAATTCCAATTGCCATCATTAAGTGATGGCAATCCTTGAATGGCAACAAATTTGTTTCGTGACTGTTCAAAGTTACAACGGCACTGAAAAGAGTAAGACAGTTTTTCACACGATCACTGCAGCATCTCTGTGGTCACATGATCGAAATTCAGGCCCGTGGCAACTGGCATGTATTTATGAGGGTTGCCGTGTCCCGGGGGATCACGTGTGGTGCCTTTTTGTGACCTCCTGACAAGCAAAGTCAATGGAGAAGCCAGATTCGTTTAACCACCATGTTACTAACTTATCAACGGCAGTGATTGACGTAACTGTGGAAAGAAAGGTCATAAAATGGGTCAAAATTCACTTAAAAATTGTCTTGCTCAGCAATGGAAACTTTGGGCTCAATTGTAGTNTTTATTGTTTTTTACCCCTCCTTTTAGAGTGTTTTATTTCTTGTTTTATATTCTTTAGGGGTTGTTTTATGTAATTTTTTTCCTATTTCTTTTATGTTTATGTTTTTAAGTTCTTTGTAGCTCACACCCTTAATGCTGGTCTTTGACCATAATAAAAGTTGATTTGATTTATCGCGAAGATCTAGCCTGGGTACAAAATTAAAAAAAACCGTATTCATACCGTCTCAAGAAAAAAAGCAAATTATAAGAGAAGCCACAGAATCTATTTTGTTCATGTTCAAATACAAGCACCTTTTGAGAAAATATTGCGCGGGATTTTTCTGAACTGTCAAGAGCGGATGTACTTGATCTTCTGACGGCCTCATCCTAGTAGAGAATAGCTCCAGAAACTCTTGATGGAGAATCAGACCTACAGTATTACAGGGCCCCCACATGCTTTTCACCACGCTGAGTATAAATTCTTTTACCCCAAAAGAATTACTCATTACTTACTCATCATCATCAAGCAAGTATCATCGCTGAAAGCAGACCAATTGGAGTTGACAAGGGCCTGCTTGAGCTCCTTAGTTGTGATGTATCCACTGTGGTCAGCATCTACAGTCTGGAACCAAGAGAAAGCTTCTGGATCCACACCGGGGGGAATGTGGCCTGTGTGAGAAAGAACGAGATATAAAGAACATATACAGAGAACTGCAGGGCCTTTGACCAGAGCATGCCAAGAACCCCACCAACATTGAGAGGAGACATCTAGCAAGCTTCTGACAACTGGAGAAGGTAAGATGAGACTCGAATCTTCTCCTCATTTGTTGACTCAGCCTTTCTCCCCCCCCCCACAAAAAGGCAGGGGGGATATGTTAAATGTGAGCTCACTTGGGCAGTGGGATGCAAAATCTTGTAAAAACAGAAGGGAAACAAATGAGGTCTTCTTCCAAAGATTTGTAATGCTCACGGCCAAGATGGAGAAGGCACGTTGCTTCAGCAGGATGCAAGTGCTATTGTGTTGTGTTGAGGAGGTTTCTGCACAGCAGTAAAGTTTTATGTCCATCTCCTGAGGAAGCCAACTTTGGTACTTTTCAGTTCTCTCCTTGGAGCCTTAAATAATGCAATAGGAATGCCTTTCTGAACCGCTGGTCTAAACGGAGATGAATAATTCAATTAAAGACGGTTTCTCCAATTTTGCAACACAAACAGGCACCCACTATTGCAGCTGCAGAATCAGTCTGTAAAGTGATAGATGTCAGATATCATCTTCTTCCTTAACATGTAGCCGAGGGAGGCCTGATGCTACAGGCAAGTTTCCCTCCTTTGAGAGATGCTTTTACCTCACAGGCGTTCAAAATGTCTGCAAAACACAGGCGTTACCGCATTCCAACAACGCTTGCAAAATGTCACTTAGTCCAGGAAAAAAAAATGCTACTTGGCTCACAACCTGCCACACTGGGGGATGGGTGGGTGGGTTATGGTTTATATGTGCAGGGAGGATTGAAAATCCAGTCTTCTAAAAGTTTCTCAGCTGTCTACACATTTGTAGATCTTGATCAGCACCAGAAAAGGAGATGGGAAATGCTTCAACGTAAGAACAAACTGAACAAATGACAACCGCACATTTCTCACTATAACTTGACATTCCAGATCTGGTAATCAGAGTTTTTTGTAGAAGGGCGGCAAAACGCCGCAGTGCAAAAATACAAATTTGAGGGTCAAGATCAACCGGTTCTTAGATAGGAAACCTGATAACAGACTTGATTTGAAATGTTCGCTTAGCTACAAAAAAAAATAAAAATAGAGTGAATATTGCAACCAATAGGGGGGAAAAAATGATGGGCAGACGAGCAATTCCAGATAAATGAGGATATCCTGGTTCAACAGTGCATAGCTTCCGTGACATCCTGACAACTGAATTGAAACAAACGTCCTACCACTCACCTCCATGACCACCTGCCCCATAGGGCCCAGGTTGGGGAGCACCATAGGGATTAGTAGGCTGTCCATATGACCCTCCTGGGACGGGGCCACCCCCATACATTCCACCCGGAGGGCCAGAGGAAGGGTATCCATAGGGTCCTCCACTGGGTGGTGGTGGTCCATATGGGCCTCCAGGTGCTGGGCTCCCATATGATCCCCCGGAAGGCAGTCCACCTCCATACTGTCCACCAGGATAGCTGCCTTGAGGAGCTCCTGGAGCCTGTCCTGCATTTCCAGGGAAGCCCTGTGAAGGAACGAAAGAAGGAAGGAACTGTAAAAAAAAAAGCAGACAATGAATCATCACAGGGCTTAGGTTTCTCAGTCTCTTCTTGTGAAATGTTCCTTCTCCCTTCTTCATAACTTCCATGGTTGTGAAATGCTCCTTGTTCCTTCCTACCTCCTCCTCAAGTTATCAGGGTAAACCACTTTTTGGTGCTGATGAATTCTTCAGCTCTTCTTACTCCACAAGAAAAGAGAAACCATTTGGGGGTTAGGAAAATACAAGAGCAGCTATAAAACAGACATTCCACCTGTAGAAGGTGTCAGGGTCAATCTCTGAACTGGCTGCCAAGGCTGAGAAATCAGGATAGGATACTCTTTCTATAGCAATGTGGATTGTCTGAATTTCAGTTGGCCCATAAATATTTTTTTTATCATCTTACAAATACCAGCTCCAAGTTCGGGTTTAATTAATATTTGTTTTAAAAATGGTTATTTCCAGAGAATCATTTTTTTTAAATATATCTAAAGATCTAATGTCTAGGGAAGACTTATTCATTTTATTAAGTTGTATATTTAATTGTTTCCTGATGGGTGGGTATATTTCCATTTGGGATAAAGCCAGATTGAATCATAGGGATAATTTTGCCAATAATCATTTTTGTCGATTAGCTGACAATTTGGTGTATAGTTTATAGTCTTTTAAGGAATGAAATGGGCCCATAAGAATCTTAATTTTTAGCAAATAAGGAGATGGATACAGGAAATAACAAAGCAACAAATTGAACTTAAACCCGAAATATTCCTATTAGGCATAATCAATCCAAAGATGGAAAAGCAATTTGAATACATCATTATACATATAATAACTGCTGCACGCATTGCCTATGCGCAATGCTGGAAAAGGGAAAACATACCAACAAGTGCAACGATAATACATAAGGTATTAGAATGTGCTGAGATGAATAAACTTACTTTAGAAATAAAAGACAAAGAAGTTACAGAATTTTATGAGATATGGATGGACATGTACTATAAATGGTTAGAATTGAGGAATAAAAAAGTATGAGAAGTAATGTAAATAAATGTAAGAGATATAGGACACAGTATTGTTAAGAAAAAAGAAAAAAATGTACTTTGTATTTTTGTGATGTGTAAAGACAAAAAGAAAAAAGAAAAATTAAAAAAAAAGAATCTTAATTTTTATGCAATACTTTGTATCAAGGAGATCAATAACAATAACAAAAACAAGGAGATCTTTAACAGACTCTTGGAAAAAGTCTAGGCAATTTTGATTCTTAAGTCAGAGCTTGCACAACATCCTGATCAGGCTCACCCTCAGCAACTGTTAAGAAGGGTGTTAAGGAAGAAGTGATAAAGAAAATCCTGGACTGTGCTGAGATGGACAAATTAACAAAAGAGATAAAAGAAAAGGAAGACACAGACTACTATTTAATATGGAACAAGTGGTATGACTGGCTGGAGAGTAGAAATAAGAGAGAATAAATGTGGAAAGGTTAAAAGTGAAAAATGTGTGTATAATGTATGAAGGAAGAAAAATGCAAATAAGAAACAATGGGGCAACAAGGACAAATACTCCAAAGAAGAATAAGGGGGGGGGGGAAATGTAAATAATAGAAGATTACTGTTACGAAATTGCTGTTAAAATATATACTGTGTATATATGTGTGTTATGTTTTGTTTTGTTTGTTTAAATAATAAAAATTTAAAAAAAAAAAAAGAAGGGTGGACTTCAATTCCCAGAATGCTCCAGCCAGCAGAGGTGGACTTCAACTCCCAGAATTCCCCAGCCCATGAAAACACTTCCTCACTATGTTTTGGGGAGCTTCCTTCCCCCTCCATCCCCAACAACCTCCATTTCCCCCCCTCCCATGACGTCACTATTCCGTCGGCCTGGCCGTGACGTCACCCTACGTCACTGAAAAGCGCGACTCGTTTCCTTGCCGGCGCTATCCTTTCCGTTCTCCCCACCCTTTCCCGGTTGCCTAGGCAACGCCCAGCCCCTCCAATAGAGAGCCCACTCGACGTCGCCTCAGTTACGGGGGGGGCTCCCGTCAGCCACCGCGGCGGGGACGAGCTGGACGCCTGTTTCGCGCGCGTGCCCGCCGCCTCACCTGTCCATACGGGTAACTGGCCGCCATGGAATCTTCGTCGCTCGCCCCCCGTCCTCCTTGTCGCGCGGGTACGCCCTTCCTGTTTGGCTCCGCCCCCCCCTCACCCCCGCTCTAAGTGATTGGATGAGAGGACCCTCGCGTGGAGCGCGAACTTGGGCGGATCGGCTGTCACTCACTCTGGTGGGCGGGGCTTCGTGGGCGGGAAGCCTATAAAAGGAGAAATCGCATTTTTTTTCTTTCTTTTTTTAAGTGGTTGCGTTAGGGATTTCTGATAGTAGCTGCGCAATTGTTCGTTTAGTGTATTTCTGATTTGCATCGAAGAATTCAAAGCGGTGGCCTGGGTGAATGGGTGTGTTACTCCCCCCCCTTCACACCAGCCCTGTAAGGTAGGCTCCAATCACCTGCATTTATTGGGCAGATTTCCAAAAGCTGCTCTCGCTATTGAGTCAACGTTTTTTTATTTTTATTTTATTTTTCACCTTTTCTTCTTTGGGTAAAACACGCATAGGTTATTTGGGGGGTAAATTCAGAGGAAAAGCAACCAAGTCTCCGGGCACTTGAAGGACTAAGCCAGCATTTCTCAACCTCAGCAACCAAGTCTCCGAATCAAACTCCATCCCTGCTGGCTGAGGAATTCTGGGAGATGAAGTCCACACGTCTTCCAAGTTGCTGAGGTTGAGAAATACAGCTGTAAGCCATCCAGAGATTGGGCAGATAAGGAATGGAATAGAAATAGAATAGAACATAGAGGAATGAACAATACAATACAATACAATACAATACAATAGAGTACAATAGAATAGAGTACAATAGAATAGAATAGAGGAAAATAGAATAGAATAGAGGAATAAAGAATAGAATAAAATAGAATAGAGGAGAATAATAGGAATAGAGGAATGAAGAACAGAATAGAATAGAGGAGAATAGAGGAAAATAGAATAGAATAGAGGAAAATAGAATAGAATAGAGGAAAATTAGAATAGAGGAATGAAGAATAGAATAGAGGAGAATAGAATAGAGGAGAACAGAATAGAATAGAGGAAAATTAGAATAGAATAGAGGAATGAAGAATAGAATAGAATAGAATAGAATAGAATAGAATAGAGGAGAATAGAATAGGAATAGAGGAATGAAGAATAGAATAGAATAGAATAGAGGAGAATAGAGGAATAGAATAGAATAGAATAGAATATGGCAGTCATAAAGCGCCACAGTCATTAAGCAAATGCCCTGGTCATTAAGCGAACCAATGGTTTGCTATGGGGGTGCAGTTTTGCCAAAACCCGGAAATAAGTGCTGGTTTTTGGCAAAACCATTGTAAAGTGAATATGGGACACTGCAAACAGCTGTAAATGCAGCCCCCTTGCTGAGTTCAGTCACGTGTCCATGGAGGGGCATGACTGTCAGAACTTTGAATCTGGGTTGTAAGTCCCCCTTTTCAGGTCAGTCATGTGGTCAATAAACAGTTGTAAGTTAAGAACTAACTGGACTTGGTAAATCTGTGCCCCCAAAGTAGCCACTGTTTTGCTTTTGTGGGATGAGTTGTCAAAAATTAAGAAGAAAAAAACTGTTAGATATATTACCACTGTCACCAAATTCTTTCCTTCATGATGCACAACAGAGGAGGGATCACCCGGTATCCTATTTTCCACCCTATCCTGTTGCTGTTGTAGAAATAAAAGGGTTAAGGCTGGAATAAACAAAGGCTGGTGTGTAAGAAATAAACAGGGAGCTTTGTATATGCTGGCTGATCTGAATTGTGTATGTTCAGTGCTTGCTCTGAACAGGATATAGGGACTGACTGGGAGGGTGTTGGGTGAGAACTAAATTGGAAATTACTGAGTAATTTTCAAACAAAAATCCTGTCATGTTTTGTTTAGGAACTGAATTAGTGCCACGAGTAAATACCCTGCATTTTATTCCTACCCGTTTCCATTCAATTTGATGAAAATGAATGTGATTTCTTTTCCCCAAAGGAGAATGAATTCCAGTGATTTAGTTGCAAGATGTCTTTAGCAATGTGGCCAAGCGTCTCTATTGTACTCTCTAGCTTTCAGCAGCCTTTCTAGCATCTTATATTCTCAATAAATCTCAAGGAAAGGTGTCAGGAGAGAAGCACCGATGCTCCTTGAGTTATGACCCCTAATTCAGCAACCGTTCAAAGTCATGAGGGTGGTGAACAAGAGGGATTTAGAACTGGTCCTCAAAGTTCTGGTCATCCCAGCATCCCTATAGTTGTGGGCTGAGGTGGTGAGGCCCTAGATCAGGGGTAGGCAACCTTGGCTCTTTTATGACTCGTGGACTTCAACTCCCAGAATTCCTGAGCCAGCCATGCTGGCTCAGGAATTCTGGGAGTTGAAGTCCACGAGTCATAAAAGAGCCAAGGTTGCCTACCCTTGCTCTAGATTAAGAGGGCAGAGAAGACCAACAAAGATCTGGAGGTTAAACCATATGATGAACAGCTAAGGGAAATAGTTATGATTAGCTTAACGAAGAGAAGGCTTAGAGCAGGGGTCTTCAACCCCCGCTGGGAGTTGAATTCTGGGAGTTGAAGTCCACAAGTCTTAAAGTTGCCAAGGTTGAGGACCCCTGGCTTAGAGGTGTCCCAATAGCCATCTTCCAATGCTTGAAGGGCTGTTATGGGGAAGAGGAGGGATTAATTCTTCAGAACACCTGAGGGCAGGATAAGAAGTAATGGATGGATGGTTATCAAAGAGAGACCAAACCTAAAATTAAGGAGAAATTTCATGATAGTGAGAACAACTAATCGGTGGAATGGCTTACTTCCAGAAGTTGCAGGTGCTCCATCTGTGGAGGTGTTCAAGAACAGATTGGAGAACCATTTGCCCAGAATGGTATAAGGCCGGGGTGGATAACTATGGTTCCTTTATGACCCGTGGACTTCAACTCCCAGAATTCCTGAGTCAGCTGGCTCAGGAATTCTGGAAGTTGAAGTCCATAAGTCATAAAGAGGCTATAGTTGCCCGACCCCGGTACTGGGTCTCTTGCTTGAGTAGGGAGTTGGAATAATAATAATAATAATAATAATAATAATAATAATAATAATAATAATAATAATAATAATAATAATAATAATAATAATAATAATAATGGTAAAGTTGGAAGGGACCTTGGAGGTCATCAAGTCCAACCCCCTGCTCAGGCAGGAAACCCTATACCATTTCGGACAAATGGCTGTCCAGTTTCTTCTTAAAAACTTCCAGTGTTGGAGCATTCACCGCTTCTGGAGGCAGGTTGTTCCACTGGTTAATTGTTCTAACTGTCAGGAAGTTTCTCCTTAGTTCTAGGTTGC